CATAAAAATCTTCTGTATTTAATAATCTTTCATTTTCATTGAAATATTTTTCCAAAATTGTTGAATCCATTTAATTTATTTTTAAAAAGAAATTGCAAAATGATGAACGGCCAATCAAATATTACTATTAAATGATATTTGGTAATGATCGACCTTCTAATAATACACATTTTGAAGAACGTAAATTACATATTTTATTGAGTATTTGCAACAAGTCACACTTTTTTAGAACCTAATTTATGATATTTTGGGTGGATATTAATTGTTATTATTATTGTGCATTGGTCATTTTATTCTGGAATATAATTATGTGTTTTTTTTGTATATAAATAATATAGTTTTCTCGAGCTTTTTTGCTAGACTAGTAAAATTCTTGATTAATTACTTAATTATGTCAAAAATGATTTGTCATTCCTATATCATCAGTAAAAAAATTGTTGTAGTAGAACTGGCTCAGAGTACTTCACTTGCAAATATGCATGGGATCACAAATTTGTTAATGGGTAAAAAATCATTTAGAATGTGTGTTGCTTATTCATGAATTTACTTACTGCCTTTTAGGTTGAAGGGAGATATAGATTGTTTATTCAAGTAGGTTGTTTATTCATACAGTATATGGTGCGTTAAAAAAATTTACGCATCTATTTTATTTTAAAATTTATTTTAAATTTTCATACAGCTATTTCCCAATGATGGAATTGCAGTACAGGAAGTATCAAGGTTTTTAATCCTTTATTTATTTCTTCTAGAATTGCATCTATTCCTTGACACTGATATTACACAATTTTTGTTCTATGAAGCTGAAGTAACTGCAATATCTATTGATCTATAAATAGGATGGCAACGTGCAGACTAAATACTCTTCGTGCTGCACTTTTTAATTGGTACGAATAGCTTTGACAACAAATAATTGCTTGCAAATAATTGAATGTCTATTTATAAAGTATTTTCTTAGCATAAATAAAATAAAGTTATAAATACAGAAATAACAATTCAAATTTATACTTGTTCAAATTTTAATTGAATCTTGTCTTTTAACCAAGTTAAATATTCATGAACTGATAAGTTTGAATTTGTGTTTACATGTGGTCATAGAAGCTCTGAGGTCATTGCTTCGTGATATATTGCATATGCTTTATGATGGCAGGGTTTCTATTCGCAATACAAATTCTTATTCGAATTAAAAAATTTATTCGAATTAAAATTATTCATTTCATTCGCTTTATTTGAATTATTCGTTTGTCCGTTTCATTTGTATTCCTCCTTTTATTCGTTTTATAAAATATAGGTCTCGTTTCTTTAACAAGATAATATAAATTACAATAATTATATTTACAATCTATATTACTACTGCTATTCTTGCTAGTACTGTGACTTAAGAATAGAAAAGAAAATGTTAGCTACTAATATTTATTATTATCACTATATACAAAGACTAAGGAAAAATAGTTTGATAAAAAAAATTTTTTTTAGATTGGATTAGCATATTAATATTAATTTTATTCGAATAAACGTTCAATGTAATAGTAGTAGTAGTAGTAATTCGAATACTCGGATTCATAGTGAATAAAACGAATAATTCGAATAAACCTTATTAGAATAGAAACCCTAATATTCACATTTTTTTTAAAAAAAGTAATAGTGAGTTGCATAGTAAAATTGGTAAAATATTAATACCAGTTTAATTCAATAATGCGCAAAGCATATTCATTTCTTCATGCAATTGGTCAGGTATAAAAATTAACCAAGGAAATTTTGTATTCCATCTCGATTCCTGATATTTTTTCTGCGCGCTGAAGTAATGTTCCTTATTTGAATATCAAAAATTAAATATTCACATTAATTAACATATTCGAAATTAGTTTCAAATAATTTTTGTACATTCGAATATTCGTAATACTTGTAATATTCGTAATAATAATAATTACAAATATTTGTAAAATGTCTTCAGTAAAATGATGGCATTATTTGGATGAGGAAGGATCAATTCTAATTTCGTCTGAGTCCATTGCCAATGGTAGATTATGTAGACCATCAAATAAAAAAATACAAAGCTTTGACAAACATAGAAAACTTGGCTATATTTGAGATCATTTTATTGAAGAAGGGGATGAACAAATTTGTAAAAGTACCTGTTCTCTAGAACATCCGAATGGTCTATGTGGCAAAAGGTTACCAAATGTATTAAAGCACTAATGATTCAATAAACCATTTATCAAAGTCCCACAATATACTTCCAACTACGGAGCAACAAAAGTGTATATTATTTGTCATTTCTTAAACATCTTGGGTCATTTTATACCAAATTTATGTTTTTTTTATTTTAACAGTTAGAATCTAAAGGATATCAGGACAAAGAGATTGTTTAGTGTCATACGTATAAATGATGAAATATCAGAGAAACAGCACGTAAGTTCCTAAATTATTAAGAGTTTAGAGTGAGTTAATGGTTTCTTGTGAAGGGTGACGAAAAATACACGATTTTTGAAATAAAAAAGTATATTATTATCTCCCTTCATCACCAAAGGTGGGTGATGCATAAAGTGGCATCTAGACAATGTATGGACTTTGCTTTTTTAAATAATTGGAGTCAATGGCAGTAACTGTCTACGTTCATTAAACGCCATACAAACAATAAATATTAATGACTGGTGTTTTCTTAAGTAGCAGTAATATAGATTATAAATATAATTATTGTAATTTATTATCTTGTTAAAGGAATAATATTTCGTCCTTAAAATGTGTGTTATTAGAAGGTCGATCATTACTAAATACTATCTTTATTTTACATGGGAAATATATATTAGTATTAATATTATTATTATTTTTATAATAGTAATCGTAATATTTGATTGGCCATTCATCATTTTGCAATTCTTTTTAAAAATAAACAAGTTTTCTAGCCCTAAGAGTTTTTTTGCGCAAGCTATCTTGTGTAATATTAGGAAGAAAAGGTTTCATTTCTTTGTAAATCATCATACTTGATATTATCCAAACTTAATTAGATGAATTCCATAAATAAATAAGCATGATTAATTACAAAGACCACTGTTGCCTTTTCATGAAAGCCAATGCTTTATTAATATATTGTTAAAAAAAGATATACATGCAGGATTTCTGAGAATTATGTTGCTGACGTGTGAAATTTTTCTATTCTAATTTAAGCTAGGATTGAAAAATATTGTAATCGGTTTGGTGACAGTTATGACTTCAATGAGGTTTCTTCCTTAGCTTAAGAGAAATGACATGAATAAGACAAGAAGCTTGAAATTATGGTATAATTGAAGACTCTTCCTTCATATAATTCCAATTACTTACCTAGTTTTTCATTCAACTCCTCAACTAATTCCATAATTCCTTTTGCTGGGCTTGGTTTGAGCTTGTAAAGGCCAAGTTTATGAGTTAACTTCTCTTCAGTCAAATGGAGAAAGGCTCTACCAGTAAGGTCTTGTTCTCGAATTTTTTTAATATCAGTTTCATTAAAATCTGAATTTTTCATGCAAGATTCAAGGAATTTTTTGACATGATCTGGAGACCACCTTTTAATATCATCAGGGAGTTTATCATCTTCAGATGGAAAAATAAAAGAGATAATGATAAGTACATATTAATTTCTCATATTAGCCCGAATGGATCACTGTTCTTACCATAAATTTCATTAGAACTTGCCTTCACAACTTCTCCATTATTATCTCGATAATGTTTTCGATTGTCAATAATTTGGGTTGGTGCGCTTCCTGTTACAAGCATCTGTTGCTTTACCTAATCGGAAGGAAATGTTATCCAGTATATTTTATCTTGTAAATTTTCAGATTAAAAATTACCTGCAATGTCTCAATCTTCAAGTGTGAACAGTCACATATCAGGATCACATTGTTTTTCTTCAGTTTAGTTCTCCAGTACTTAGCAAAAACAAAAATAGAGTATTAGAAATATTCGCAAGACTCATTGTGTCGAACAAATAGTTCATCACTGTGAACTAAGAGTTACAGCTTGGCTCAAGTGTTGAACTAGGGGTTTTTACTGTGGACTAGGAGTGTCACTGGAACTAAGAGTCCCCAGCTACACTTGAAATGTGAATGGGACTAGGAGTTCATTACTGGAACTAAAAGTTACAGCTTCGAAATGAGATGAACTAAGAGTTCCCAGTCTGCAATCAAAATGGAAGTACTGTGACTAAGAGTCACCAGCTTTCCTTAACTTGTTAAAATCTTTATCTTACTAATAAAACTATCTTCCAATGATCAATGATTGATTGTGCCTTTTTCCTGTGCTCCTCACTAAAGACAGAATTCAAATTTGCAATACTTATCCCTTAAACGGTTTTTCGGCTATTGATAGCTGAAATTTTTTTTCTGTTATAAAAAATTTTTTCTGAGGGTATCACTTCCTAATACGAAAATGATCTTTGAGATTCAGCCGATTGGCCTGTAAAAAAATTTTTGGGTGTTGTCCTTGTGGTTTTCGTATAACTTTCTTTAAAAGTCATGCAATTGGAAAAAAATCGTAAATTTTTTTTACAACAATATTGCAGATCATCAAAGCACCCGAAAATTTCGCCCGAATTTTTTACTAATGATAAAAATAAATAGAAAAAAATGCACCATTGCCTCCAAAGAAAGAGTATATAAGGGAAGTAAATTCTTCATTTCTTTAAGAATAAATCAATTAATTTTTTAATTAAACTTTAAAAAAAATTTTAATATCAATTATTTTAAAAATGAGTATAGAAGAAATCAGTCAACAACATGAAATTGATAAATATTTATGTAGTATTATTAGAGAAAGACCTTCAACTATATTTAATGAAGATGAAATAAATGAAGATGATGTTGAAGAAAATAACAATAATAATAATCAAGAAGATCAAATGCAAATTGATCATATTATTAACAATGGAAATGATGGAGATGATAGCCAAATGCTAATTGATGATGTTAATAATCAGGATAGAAATGAAATTAGAGGGAGGAATAGAGGAAGAATAAGAGGTGGTAGAGGAAGAGGTAGAGGTAGAGGTAGAGGTAGAGGAGGAAATGATAATAATGTACAGGCAGTTATTCTTCCATCACCTCCACCATTTAATAAATTTGTACATGAAAATTCTTTACATGAATCTAGAGCATTATTGCCTTCAGGAATTGATATTATGCCTTATTCATTGTTTAGTTTATTCTTTACTGTTGATATTCTAGATATTATTGTATACAATACAAATATTTATGCTGATGAAAAAGGTGCTGGAGCTGGAAGACGATGGGATGCTCTTGAATTAAGTGATTTTAAAATTTGGTTGGGAATAGTAATATATTCAGGAATTTTTAAATTAC